CATTCTCATCGACGGGGCTGTAGTGGAGAATGTTGAGAGCTTCAAGTTCCATGGTGTCCACATCACCACCAAACTAACATGGTCCAAGCACACCAAAACAGTAGTGAAGAGGATCCGACAAAACCTATTCCCCATAAGGAGACTGAAAAGATTTGGCATGGGTCCTCAGATCCTCAAAAGGTTCTACAGCTGCACCATCGAGACCATCCTGACTGGTTGCATCACTACCTGGTATGGCAACTGCTCGGCCTCCGACCGCAACGCACTCCAGAGGGTAGTGCGTACGGCCCAGTACATCACTGGGGCCAAGCTTCCTGCCATTCAGGACCTCTATACCAGACGGTGTCAGAGGAATGCCCTAAAAATGGTCAAAGACTCCAGCCACCCTAGTCATAGACTGTTCTCTCTGCTACCGCACGGCAAGCGGTACCAGAGCGCCAAGTCTAGGTCCAAGAGGCTTCTAAACATCTTCTACCCCCAAGCCATAAGACTCCTGAACATCTAATCTAATGGCTACCCAGACTATTTGGTCCCCACATGGGTAGTTTGTATTGGTCAGCCCACGAGGTCCAGTTGTGCAGAACCCCGAGCGACAACCTGATCTCAGAGCATTTAGTATTATTCTGTATGTAAATCCGAGACACTCCATTTAGTATGATATGTTACGTTTGGTATGGTTACATAAGACAGATGGTTATTTAAGGCAAAAACAGAAGGTGTGTGGTTGGTCGGGGTGGGCCTATAACACAAACGTCTGGGCCTATAACACAAACGTCTATCAACCCAAAGGTTGCGAGTTTGAATCTCATCATGGACAACTTTAGCATTTTAGCTAATTAGCAAGTTTAACTACTTACTACTTTTTAGCTACTTTGCAACTACTGAGGGGGTCTTGACCACGCTCCGGCTGTTCTCCAGACAGCGGTAACGCTGGAACATGTCCCAGGCACTGTTGGTGGCCATGTAACCTCCCTCAGAACCAGTGAAGATCTCCAGGCTCTTACAGTGGGACATCAGCACAATCTATAGAGATGACAGAACAATACAGAAGGGCTGAATCCCAACTTTAAATCCTTGTAGCTCTAATTTTTATGCAAGTGACATCAATGCATGATTTACACTAGGTGTTTAACTTAGTGTGTGTGGGAACGAACCGAGTCGATGAGTGTGTATGGGGACTGGACATCATTGAGTGCAGAGTACATTTTACATTTACATTTTAGTCATTTAGCAGACGCTCTTATCCAGAGCGACTTACAGTTAGTGAATACATATATATATTTTTTTTTATACTGGCCCCCCGTGGGAATCGAACCCACAACCCTGGCGTTGCAAACGCCATGCTCTATCAACTGAGCTACATCCCTGCCGGCCATTTCCTCCCCTACCCTGGACGACGCTGGGACAATTGTGCGCCGCCCATGAGTCTCCCGGTCGCGGCCGGCTGCGACAGAGCCTGGATTCGAACCAGGATCTCTAGTGGCACAGTTAGCACTGCGATGCAGCGCCATAGACCACTGCACCACTCAGGAGACGAGTAGAGGGGCAAGCTCAGACGAACAATGTAGTCCATCCCTGCCTCGAAACACTGGTCTGGGGAGCACCACGAACAAGAGAGGGATGTCACAAAACACTGCACTAAATCACACACAAGAAAAGTGCGTGCAAACAAAACACAGGCATGTAATACTTATCCTACACTACACACACACTTGCATATACAGACCCATTACTCACTCTCTCACGCGCAACAAACATACACAGAGAGATAGACTAGGTGTTTGTTTACCGTGATTCAGGGTGGAGGAATAGCATCTGGTTGTCATCATCAGGCATGGTGTTGGCACAGCGGCTGTTTGTTGAGATCACACTGGGACGCATCACTGTCATCAACACCTCCTCCCACTGGTCCGGTAACTACGCCAACACAACAGGTACATAGACATTGGAGTTTGATACCCCTGGTCAGGACTCCCCTGAGGAAGGTGGAGGGATACATATGTGCTGAGTTGTGTAAGGCACAAGATGAGTTAGGGAACACCCATGACCCCAAAAGCCTTAGAAGTAAGTTACGTCAAGGTCAAAGGTGACTCACAGGTCCAAACTTGGCGACCTTTGCCTCGTAGTTGTGTGTAGTTGTCCAGGGCGATGAAGTAGAAGCTTGACTCCACCTTGTCAGCCATATGTTTTCTACACACACACTGACCTGTCTCCTGAGAACAACTGCAGTGAGAGAGAGTAAAAATAGAAAATGTAAGGAAATGTCAGAGTTCAATTGGAGTTGAAAAGTTTATTATTGATTCAAGGTAACAGTCCATTTTAAGACTGCTGCTGTTTCAAGAGGCTGCTGTATAATCATATAGCCAAATAAGTTATAAGTTATAACATACTATGTGGGACTGAGGCGAGCTGTACCAATCCACGCCAGTCGTCAGTCAGTATGGCTCAGTATTGAACAGCCTGCTGTCATTTCATGCCCAACCATCGTTGTGGAGAGCTAACCTACTGATGGGGAATATATTATCTATTATGCGCATTTGCTTACATTATTAAAAACTATGGAGGCCTTGACAGCAGAAAGTTCTCAGAAACCTGCAACCACAATTGCCATATTGTTTTTAGACATTTTATTGTCTGACAACTCACCCCCTGATACTGAGTTCGTGGGAAGACAGGATTAGGAAGAATACTTTGTTGATGCTAGGGCAAGTTCAGGCTCAGGGGTAAACATCACCCTATGGGAAGGGAGTGCTAGTATAAAAAGCAGAGATTGTTTTAGACACTTTGCAGAACTTATGAAGAGCTATACAAATCCTGTTGACTCTGTATTAACTTCTGCCTGAATTGCAAAACTAAAGATATTTTACATATACTCAGAAGCCGTTGTCTGTGTCATTTTCTAAAGTTTTAAGTTTGTTTAAGAATAAGAGAATATCAGCACTGTGCAAAAAACCCTCAACATTTTGGCGAGCTTGCCAGGAGTGACCACCCGCCGTTGGAGTGAGCGTCGTCCTACTGTGCCACGCAACTTATTGCTTAAAGGTAAGCAGACGCCTGTTATATCTAAAGTCGGTAATTTCAACAAAGCACTGTGTGGTTGATGACTCATTCTGACACGTAAGTGGCGCCTCACTCACAGTATGCTGTTCATTTAAGAGACGAAACCTACATTGTGGTGTATATATTGATTTATTACTAAACTCTTAATAGATAAACCTGTTGGAAACTGACACAGACCACCTAGGTGATAGTTAGAAATTCCTAGGTGTGAATATGTATATGTTGACTTGGTGATAGGATTTAGGGCAAATCCAAGTATAAAGCCAATGGTTATGATTGAAGGCCTGTAATTGTGTACTCCTGAGTGATAGGACAGTAAACGAGATGTTTGTCCTAGTTGTGAGGGACGGTAAACAAGAGGTTTGTCCCGGTTATTTATAGGATTGGTAAATGAGAGGTTTGATCCTGATTATTGATTGTTATATAAATTGAATATATGATTATGAGTGACTGACTATCGGTGATGGTTAGGCATGTATTTGTTTGTTGATTAATCATTAATGGCTAGATAGTGGAGTTATAATTCTGGTGTATCTCAATACATGTTTGAATGAAGGGCATTTGCCTTGGTTGAATGAACATTTACTAATAACAGGATTTATGTGCTACGACTGTTATAAGGGAGCCTGCTTTTAGAAATAGGTTGTGCCTGCCATTACTTGGTGGAACCTCTTTTGAAACTGTTTTGAGCCCTTTACCTGAGGAAAATTTGGATGCGGAGATTAGAACAGTTGTACAGACTAAACCTGTTACCAGTCTGGTCCAAACTTTTGTGGAACTTTTTACTGTTGCATGGTTGATTAACAGCTGTAATACTGTAAAGCAATCTGTTCGCCTAGACTGCATTAAATGTAAGATAATTTACCATCCCGTCACTATTATATTGACCTTATATAAATAAGATCATTAGATAAGTACTGACATAAGGATTTTATTTTATTTCTAGTTCATATTATACACAGGTCGGCCCCAATAAAAAATTATAGCAACCATGGCAGACAACTCAACTCCCTCCCTCCACTGGACCAATAGCTATGAAATGTGTTACTCCTGTTGAATACCTGGGACAACAGTACCCAGCCTTGATTAAAGACATTATATGGATATTCAAGAAATGGCATGATTGGACTATTGCCTCTGGGGAGTTGTACATGACATAGTGGAAAAAAGAAAGACTGATAAAAAGAAGACAACAAAGAAATCCACGCAGGTATCCCTAACTGTCCTGCAATTCAAGGATAACCCATCTGCAGACAGTGGAAAAAAGGGAAGAAGATGAGAAGAAAGAACCAGAGGAAAAATCTGGTGTGACATCCTATAAGAAATCTACCCAGCACTCCCAACAGCACCATCTCCTCCATATGAAGATGACCACTCCGGTTACAAAGGGGATGTATTCCCATTGAGGCAGGACAACTCTGGCTCAGAAGCCAAGGTGAAAATATAATCATCAGAGGCACCCTGGAAGAGACCGGAAAAGGAACAGAACAGAGGGCTCCACAAACCCCGGTCCGGGGCCCTCCATGGTTACCAGACTGACAAGAGAACTGGGTAAGTTGGACTTGGACGCAAGAACCAAGCCACTCACTGCATCCAAGCCTAAATACCCCTACACCAGGACAATCGGTGATGGAAGAACAACAAAATGAAAGAAAGAGAGAAAGATTGAAGAGATGAATCAGGAAAGTGCAAAACGATGGTGAGTGGACAGAGAGAGAGAGGAACAGTGGAGAGCGGACAGAGAACGTGAAGCAAAGTGGCAGAGAGACAAAGAAATGTTCGAGAGAGAGGATGCAAGACACAGAGAGAGAGAGGATGAAGAGGAAAGACGGAAAAGAGAAAGGGAGTACGAAGAGGAAAGTCGGAAAAAAGAAAGTGAGTACAAGATAAGATGGGAAGGAGACACAGAAGGTGCTTTCTCCCCAGGAGCCAGACAAGACATGGAAGACAGAATAGCAGCTGAAGAGCTGGCGCTCCGACAGAAATACTACGATGATGTGGAGAGAATGAAGAAACAAGAAGAAATGAGACAGAAACTCCAGGAGGAACTTGATGGGTCATTTAAACCACAACACTCCAGCACCAGGTCCTCTTCCAGTAGCCCTTCCCCACCCATCCTACAGAGAATACAGACAAGAAGCCAGAAGGGGGGAGCAACGGGTGGAACTAAAGGGGCTTATCCACTAGTCTACAGAACAGACGAAGATGGAGAAGTATATAGCCAGTACAAAGCCTGGAGTTTGGCTAGACAAAATGAAAACAGAATGGGGAAATGAGACTGGTGAAAGGTATGATAACACCCTCACCATTGAAGAGCTGTTCTATGATAGAGCCTGCAGGAACCTGCCAGAGTCAGTACAACAGAAACTGAAAGAAGTAGTTTGCTGGGACCGCAAGGATGAGCCAGAAAAAGAGGACTATATTTACATTTACATTTTAGTCATTTAGCAGACGCTCTTATCCAGAGCGACTTACAGTTAATGAGTGCATACATTATTTTTTTATTTTTTCATACTGGCCCCCCGTGGGAATCGAACCCACAACCCTGGCATTGCAAACGCCATGCTCTACCAACTGAGCTACATCCCTGCCGGCCATTCCCTCCCCTACCCTGGACGACGCTGGGCCAATTGTGCGCCGCCCCATGGGTCTCCCGGTCGCGGCCGGCTACGACAGAGCCTGGATTCGAACCAGGATCTCTAGTGGCACAGCTAGCACTGCGATGCAGTGCCTTAGACCACTGCGCCTTCTGGAAGAAGACAAAGGCTGAAGAAAAATAAAAGAAAACAGGCCTGCAGACACAACTCCAGAAGGCCCAACTGGCTGCACTAGAGAAAAGTAGCAAGCCAGACACATTGATGCTGAGTACTCCAGCACCTGCACCAGCTCCAACACCTGTCCCACCACCATGGCCCCCTGCAGCGGCCCCAGCTCAACAGGTACAGTTTCCCCCACAGCCCTACGGTAACCAACAGCCATTCCAGCCCTACCAGCCCTACCAGAGAAGGCCTGAGGATCCTCTAGTCTGTTGGGGGTGTGGCATTGTGGGTCACATGAGGAATCAGTGCCCCACTGCTGTGGACCAGGGAGGTTAGGCACCACAGCCAGGCTTCAGAAGAGGCCGAGGTGGAACTGGCTAAGGACCCCACAAGTGTGTACTGAACTAATCGAACTTGATGCAAAAGCAAGACCTGACCTATTTGATGAACCTCTTGAGTTGGCTGACATGACACTTTCCGTAGATGGGTCGACTTACATTGATCAGACGACAGGAAGGAAACATGCAGGTTTTGCTGTAACAACTATAGATAAATCACTACACATTGAGCAGTCCCTCCCTGATCATTTCTCTGTACAACAAGCAGAGTTACTACCTCTCACCACAGCTTGTGGGGCTGCTGAGGGAAAAACAGCTCACATTTACTCAGATTCTGCCTACGCAATTGGTGTATGTTTATCATGGGCAGGTGTTTGGAAGGCTAGAGGTTTCACCAATGCATGAAACTCCCTGCTAAACTGGCAATTCTTAAAGTCCAGGCCCATACGGGTAACCAAGATGAGGCCAGTAAAGGAAATGACCTTGCTGACATTGCTACTAGAGCTGCTGCTGCAAGGTGTCACACCCATGCTGTGTATCTGGCTTCTGCTGTGGCCTCACTTGTTGTTGATTTGCAACAACAACAGGCGACTGACCACATGTCTCACTCCCTTTGGGAGGCCAGAGGTTGCTCCCGGGGACCTGATGGCCTCTGGAGACAACACCTTTCAGGTAAACCTGTGTTGCCAACACAGCTTTTCCCGTCGGTTTGCCGAATGGCACATGTGATGTGTCATTCATCAAGAGGGGATATGGTTACCAAGATTTCACAAGATTGGTTTTGCCCAAATTTAACAGAACATGTGAAACAACAAATGTTTAAATGCGCCACGTGCATACAATACAACATTGCCAAGGGGACACCACATAAACCTGGTAATTTCTCCTCACCTAGTGGCCCATTTACACACATTGCAATGGATTTTTTTGATATGACTGAAAGAAAGGAGAGAAAGCGCTATTGTTTAGTAATAATTGACTGATTCACAAGATGGGTAGAGGCATTTCCTACTACCCACTGTGATGCTAAAACAGTAGCTAAAATTCTGGTAAGGGAAATATTCCCTATATTCGGAATCCCAGAAACCTTGTTTGCAGACAATGGCACCCATTTCACTGGAGATGTTATAGCCCAAATTGCCCTTATGCTGTGGATAGATCAGAAGTTTGTCTGTATCTATCACCCACAAAGCAATGGGGTTACAGAGCCAACCAGACCCTCAAAGGAGGACTAGCAAAGGCCTGCCACTCGACAGGTAAAACTGGGTAGAGTGCGTACCTCTGGTGCTGATGAAAATGCGAAGCAGCCCCAACAGAGGCACTGGGTATAGCCCTCATGAGATGTTAACAGGCCGTCTCATGAATATTCCATCTCATAGGCCCATGACTGGACTGGAAGATGACCTGTTAGGATACAGTATATGAAGGAACTAACTTCTACTGTTAGGTCTCTGTATTCTCATTCTAGGAAAGCCCAGGAAGTGCCAGACGGAGAGGAGAAAGACGACATCCCTGTCCAAATCGATGACTGGGTGAAACTGAAGGTTCACAAGCGAAAATGGAATCAGCCAAGATGGATGGGACCATACCAAGTGATCCAGGCCACCCCGACGGCTGTCAGAGTGACCGAGAGACAGGGATGGCACCACCTGTCACACTGCCAGAAGATGGAGAACCACCCACCAAAAGAATGAAGAATGACCAGAACCTGCCACCTGATGAAGACTCAACAGTTCTGCATGGACTCCATGGAGACAGAAGGAGGGGAGGCCGTGAGCCACATCCACTGGGCCATGAATGTGCTGTGTTATGTATAATAATCTGTGCTCTGCTTGCTTACTCAGTCTCGGGGGTGGAAATACAGAACAACCAATTGAAGTCAACCAATTCCTGGGTAAATATGCTGCAGGGCCTGGGTAGGAGGGTAACGCCAAATGGGTCCAGAATAATGATGTTCCCAAAACCTTCTTCAGCGGGTGAGCTATTTGGTACTATGGGAAAACCTCTATCAGAGGACGATATTACATTTGGATATCTCCACTTTATGTGACGAGATAAGGTTAACAAAGGATACGGCATCCAAGATGGCGTAGCAGTGCAGTCCTGTTTTTTGTCGTGTGTCTGTAAATAGCCTGTAAATACCCAGTTTTTTTTGTATTTTTCGTACATATTTCCCTATCAGACTTTTCATCCTTCTACAAAATATACTTTCCTGCAACCCGCCTCACTCAATGTGGAACGGATTCTATTATTGACTTACCTTTTATCTAGAATCTCCAGTTGAAACTAGCTAGCTAGCCAGCTAACTAGCTACTTGTTATTAGCCACAGTTAGCGGTATTAGCCACAGTTAGCGGTATATTTCACCCAGAACATAGGATTTTTCTGCCGGAATAATTTAATCACTGGACATTAATCACTGGATCGCAACTAGCAACCGAATGGATGTTGCTGTTTGGCTAATCACCACTGCCCCCGATGCAAGCACCAGTTAGCCTCGAGCTAGCCTAGAGCCAGGCCCATATCCCGGCTATCTACCTCTCGGTCTACCGGACGGGAGTAGCCAGCTAACTAGCTACTTGCTATTAGCTACCGTTAGCGGTTTTTCACCATTGTCCGTGGCCTGCACCACCTACCAGCCAGCTCTAGCCTGGACTATTATTCAGCCAGTCTGCACTGTCTGCACAGCGCGTTATCGACCCAGACATATCAGTTTTTCTGCCGGAATCACTGAATCACTGGACCTTTAACTCCAGATTCATCGCTACCAGCTAGCTGCAACAAAATGGACGTTGTGGTTTGGCTAATCATCCTGAGTTAGGCCCATCTCCCGGCTATCTACCTCTCTGTCAACCGGACGGGACCACCTAGTGTTGACACGGAGCCCCGCCGATCCAACACGACTGGTCTGCCGACGAAATCGTCTGATGTGGTTACAACAGGCTTCCCGTTACGACGTTGACCATGAAGATTCCATCTGCTAGCCCCGGCCTGCTAGCACACGCTAGCCGTGGCCCCTTGCTCGCTAGTACTTTAACAGCCCCCGAACTACCTCCGAACTATCCTATTGCTGTTCACCGGACCTTATGATAACTCAGCTATACAGCTGATGCCTGCTGGACTGTTCCTTTTTACGGTACCGCATCCTGTTTATGTTTAGCCTCAGCCCAAACTGTGTCGCCATTACCAACTGTTGTCTTAGCTCTCTCAAATTACACCTGTGATTGCTTTATGCCTCTCTCCCATGTCAATATGGTTTGCTTATTGCTGTTTCGGTTATTTCTAATTGTACTATTTCACTGTAGATCCCCCAGCCCAGCTAAACCTGCCTTAGATAGCTCCTTTGTCCCACCCCCCATACACGCGGAGACCGACTCAATCGGTGCCTCCAGTGATGCTATCTCTTTCATTGTTACCCAACGCTTAGGTTTACCTCCACTTTACTCATATCCTTCCATATCCTTGTCTGTACATAATGCCCTGAATCTTTTCTACAACGCCCGGAAATCTGCCCCCTTTATTCTATGTACCCAACGCACTAGGAGACCAGTTCTTAAAGCCTTTAGCCGTATCCTTATTCTAGTCCTCCTCTGTTCCTCTGGTGATGTAGAGGCTAACCCAGGCCCTGCAGCCCTCAGTACCACTCATACTCCCCAGGCGCTATCATTTGTTGACTTCTGTAACCGTAAAAACCTTGGTTTCTTGCATGTTAATATCAGAAGTCTCCTTCCTACGTTTGAGTTATTCACTGCGTTAGCACACTCCGCCAACCCTGATGTTCTAGCAGTGTCTGAATCCTGGTTTAGGAAGGCCACCAAAAAATCTGAAATTTCCATCCCCAACTATAACATTTTCCGTCTAGATAGAACTGCCAAAGGGGGTGGAGTTGCAATCTACTGTAGAGATATATCACACTATCCAGGTCTGTGCACAAACAGTTTGAGCTTCTACTTCTAAAAATCCACCTTTCCAGAAATAAGTCTCTCACTGTTGCCGCTTGCTACAGACCCCCCTCAGCCCCCAGCTGTGCCCTGGACACCATATGTGAATTGATTGCCCCCCATTTATCCTCAGAGTTCGTACTGCTTGGTGACCTAAAGCTGCAAAATCTGGACCCCTACAAATCAGCTGGGCTAGACAATATGGACCCTTTCTTTCTAAAACTAGCCGCCGAAATTGTCGCAACCCCTATTACTAGCCTGTTCAACCTCTCTTTCATAACGTCTGAGATCCCCAGAGATTGGAAAGCTGCCGCGGTCATCCCCCTCTTCAAAGGGGGTGACACTCTAGATCCAAACTGTTACAGACCTATATCCATCCTGCCCTGCCTTTCGAAAGTATTTGAAAGCCAAGTTAACAAACAGATCACCGACCATTTCGAATCCCACCGTACCTTCTCCGCTATGCAATCCGGTTTCCGAGCTGGTCATGGGTGCACTTCAGCCACGCTCAAGGTCCTAAACTGTGCAGCCGTCTTCATCGACCTGGCCAAGGCTTTCGACTCTGTCAACCACCGCATTCTTATTGGCAGACTAAATAGCCTTGGTTTCTCAAATGACTGCCTCGCCTGGTTCACCAACTACTTCTCAGATAGAGTTCAATGTGTCAAATCGGAGGGCTTGTTGTCTGGACCTATGGCAGTCTCTATGGGGGTGCCACAGGGTTCAATTCTTGGGCCGACTCTTTTCTCTGTGTATATCAATGATGTCGCTCTTGCTGCTGGTTACTCTCAGATCCACCTCTACGCAGACAACACCATTTTGTATACATCTGGCCCTTCATTGGACACTGTGTTAACAAACCTCCAAACGATCTTCAATGCCATACAACACTCCTTCAGTAGCCTCCAACTGCTCTTAAACACTAGTAAAACTAAATGCATGCTCTTCAATCGAACGCTGCTGGCACCCGCCCACCCGACTAGAATCACTACTCTCGACGGGTCTGACCTAGAGTATGTGGACAACTACAAATACCTAGGTGTCTGGTTAGACTGTAAACTCTCCTTCCAGACTCACATTAAGAATCTCCAATCCAAAGTTAAATCTAGAATCGGCTTCCTATTTCGCAACAAAGCCTCCTTCACTCATGCTGCCAAACATGCCCTCGTAAAACTGACTATCCTACCGATCCTTGACTTTGGCGATGTCATTTACAAAATAGCCTCCAACACTCTACTCAGCAAATTGGATGTAGTCTATCACAGTGCCATCCGTTTTGTCTCCAAAGCCCCATACACTACCCACCACTGTGACCTGTACGCTCTTGTTGGCTGGTCCTCACTACATGTTCGTCGTCAAACCCACTGGCTCCAGGCCATCTATAAATCACTGCTAGGCAAATCCCCGCCTTATCTTAGCTCATTGGTCACCATAGCAGCACCCACCCGTAGTCTGCGCTCCAGCAGGTATATCTCACTGGTCATCCCCAAAGCCAACACCTCCTTTGGCCGCCATTCCTTCCAGTTCTCTGCTGCCAATGACTGGAACGAATTGCAATAATCTCTGAAGCTGGAGACTCTTATCTCCCTCACTAACTTTAAGCATCAGTTGTCAGAGCACCTTACCGATCACTGCACCTGTACACAGCCCATCTGAAATTAGCCCACCCAACTACCTCATCCCTATATTGTTATTTATTTTGCTATTTTGCACCCCAGTATCTCTATTTGCACATAATCTCTTGCACATCTATCATTCCAGTGTTAATACTAATTGTAATTATTTTGCACTATAGCCTATTTATTGCCTTACCTCCATAACTTGCTACATTTGCACACACTGTATATATATTTTCTGTTGTATTTTTGACTTTATGTTTTGTTTTACCCCATATGTAACTCTGTGTTGTTGTTTTTATCGCACTGCTTTGCTTTATCTTGGCCAGGTCGCAGTTGTAAATGAGAACTTGTTCTCAACTGGCTTACCTGGTTAAATAAAGGTGAAATAAATAAATAAAATAAAAAAAGGCAGATTTTTATATACAGTGCCTTGCAAAAGTATTCATCCCCCTTGGCGTTTTTCCTATTTGTTGCATTACAACCTGTAATTTAAATTGATTTTTATTTGGGTTTCATGTAATGGACACACACAAAATAGTCCAAATTGGTGTAGTGAAATGAAAGAAAGAACTTGTTAAAAAAAAAATCAAAGAAATATATAACGGAAAAGTGGTGCCTGCATATGTATTCACCCCCTTTGCTATGAAGCCCCTAAATAAGATCTGGTGCAACCAATTACCTTCAGAGGCCACATAATTAGTTAAATAAAGTCCACCTGTGTGCAATCTAAGTGTCACATGATCTGTCACATGATCTCCGTATATATACACCTGTTCTGAAAGGCCCCAGCGTCTGCAACACCACTAAGCAAGGGGCACAACCAAGCAAGCGGCACCATGAAGACCAAGGAGCTCTCCAAACAGGTCAGGGACAAAGTTGTGGAGAAGTACAGATCAGGGTTGGGTTATAAAAAATATCAAAAACTTTGAACATCCCACGGAGCACCATTTTAAATCCATTCTTTAAAAAAATGAAAGAATATGGCACCACAACAAACCTGCCAAGAAAGGGCCTCCCACCAAAACTCACGGACCAGGCAAGGAGGGCTTTAATCAGAGGCAACAAAGAGACCAATGATAACCCTGAAGGAGCTGCAAAGCTCCACAGTGGAGATTGGAGTATCTTTCCATAGGACCACTTTAAGCTGTACACTCCATAAAGCTGGGCTTTACGGAAGAGTGGCCGGAAAAAAAGCCATTGTTTAAAGAAAAAAATAAGCAAACATGTTTGGTGTTCGCCAAAAGCCATGTGGGAGACTCCCCAAACATATGGAAGAAGGTACTCTGGTCAGATGAGACTAAAAATAGAGCTTTTTGGCCATCAAGGAAAATGCTATGTCTGGTGCAAACCCAACACCTCTCATCACCCCGAGAACACCATCCACCACAGTGAAGCATGGTGGTGGCAGCATCATGCTGTGGGGAGTTTTTTCATTGGCAGGGTCTGGGAAATTGGTCAGAATTGAAGGAATGATGGATGGCACTAAATACAGGGAAATTCTTGAGGGAAACCTGTTTCAGTCTTCCAGAGATTTGAGACCGGGATGGAGGTTCACCTTCCAGCAGGACAATGACCGTAAGCATACTGCTAAAGCAACACTCGAGTGGTTTAAGGGGAAACATTTAAATGTCTTGGAATGGCCTAGTCAAAGCCCAGACCTCAATCCAATTGAGAATCTGTGGTATGACTTAAAGATTGCTGTACACCAGCGGAACCCATCCAACTTGAAGGAGCTGGAGTAGTTTTGCCTTGAAGAATGGACAAAAATCCCAGTGGCTAGATGTGCCAAGCTTATAGAGACATACCCCAAGAGACTTGCAGCTGTAATTGCTGCAAAAGGTGGCTCTACAAAGTATTGACTTTGAGGGGGGGGGGGGGGGGGGGGGGGTGAATAGTTATGGACGCTCAAGTTTTCTGTTCTTTCTTGTTTGTTTCACGATAATAAATATTTTGCATCTTCAAAGTGGTAGGCATGTTGTATAAATCAACTGATACAAACCCCCAAAAAATCTATTTTAATTCCAGGTTGTAAGGCAACAAAATAGGAAAAATGCCAAGGGGGGTGAATACTTTCGCAAGCCACTGTATTGCCACTGATACGGATAGTAACAGAGCAACTATCCTAGGGAGACTCTCTAACAATGTACAAGTCCCATACATTAAAGCTGATAACAAAACTATGTATCAGGAATCTACATTTCGGCCAACCAGGGGAAATGGGAGGGGTAGGACAGCAGCCACATATACAATCTCTCAGGCAGCAGAGTGCCCTTACCCCCCAAAACACCAATGGGCCACTCATTTGGATAGAGGGACTATAGAACCTGTGGTGACGGGGATAGTACCAGCACATAGTCCACCACTTTGCATCTGTAACCAAGGGAATGTCCCTATAGGAAAGTCACAGAATTGTTTAAACTATGCAGGACTCCTAGATGAGACAATCAGACACAAAATGACTGAGTGGCATATCTTACAATTTGGTCAGCAGATTACTGGCATTAATATGTCTACCATTAGGATGGGAATGGGGATTCCCCATGGCCACATGTGGATATGTGGAGGTAATGGATACCTCCAGCTTCCGCTTAACTGGCAGGGGTGTTGTTATCTGGGAGAAACTATGCTCCCTATTACCTCAATCCCCCTTCATGACATGCTAGAAGCCAGAGAAAATATGACTAAAAGGACCAGAGCTAAAATAAGTGTTCCTGAGAATGATAAAGCTTATGGCCATGTTCTTAAACCGGGGGAGATTGCGGGAATGGCACTGTTCCCAAGAGTTGATGTTGCTATCCTGTCCAAATAGGTGTATAACATTACCTATTCTCTGCAGGCACACATGAATTTGACTGTCAAAGGCTTTACCCAACTCTCCCTTGATGTACAAAACTTAAAAGCCGTAGTCGCTCGTCAAAAAATGGCTTTAGACTATCTATTGGGGTACCAAGGGGGATATTGCTCAGCATTGGGGCTAACTGTTAGTGGACAGTGTGTAATGCTGCTCCCAGATTCTTCTGACAACATGACTGAAATAATTAATGAAATAAGCAATTTGGCTGATACCAAGCAAAAATGATTGGTTCTCTTCCTGGTTGACTTCCACCTTTGGGGAATGGGGAACCAAACTGCTCACCTGGCTGTTACCAATCCTTCTGCCCCTGTTTTCACTCCTTATTGGTGTTTGTGTTTTGTGTTGTATGGCTAAATGTATAATTAACAAATTAGTCCCTGGCCTTATGGTCCTCCACATAGATCAACAGGTTGAGTTGAATTACTATGCTGAGACCTCTGGGCCTGTTTTGGTCCCTTCTTCCCACCTATATGGGGACTCGGATGAATGGTTGTAAGTCAACTGATATTTATATGGAATGATGTTTTCACTGGATGGTTTTAAAAATTCCTAGATTTTGTTGAGACTTAGAAGTCTCAAAGAGGGGAATGATGGGGAATATATTATATATTATGCACATTTGCTTACATTATTAAAAACTATGGAGGCCTTGACAGCAGAAAGTTCTCAGAAACCTGCAACCACAATTGCCACATTGTTTTTAGACATGTCTCATTTTATTGTCTGACACCTCACCCCCTGATACTGAGTTTGTGGGAAGACGGGATTAGGAAGAATACTTTGTTGTTGCTAGGGCAAGTTCAGGGTCAGGGGTAAACATCACGCTATGGGAAGGGAGTGCTAGTATAAAAAGAAGAGATTGTTTTAGACACTTTGCAGAACTTATGAAGAGCTATACAAATCCTGTTGACTCTGTATTACTTCTGCCTGCAATTGCAAAACTAAAGATATTTTACATATACTCAGAAGACGTTGTCTGTGTCATTTTCTAAAGTTTAAAGTTTGTTTAAGAATAAGAGAACATCAGCACTATGCAAAGAACCCTCAACACGACTATAGGTTTTCACTTAATCCCTTACCTAACCTACTGGTACACATTCAGTATAGAACCATCCTCTGTATAGAACCATCTTTCTAACCGAATAGACAGCAGTTGGTCAAAGTCAATAACATGTCATCCTCTCTACATGACAAATGTCCTAATAACAATGCCTCCATACAACGTCAAAGCAATTAGAGGAACTTTCAGTTCCTCTAACTGTAGCAAGTCCCCAGAGTGCTGTGCATAGAGGAGAGCCAAGGTACTTAGAACAGAGTCCTGTATCTCCTATCTCTGTCAGCTAAGCAGAGACCAACTTCACCACCACATAGTGAAAGTGGACCTGCATGGAGAAAGAGATGGAGAAAGAGAAGATTGAGAGAGGTCATTCTCATTTATTGTAACTGCACAAAAACTGCCAGAGTAAAAGTTATCAAATCTGTATTTCAAATAGACTATCTCAGTGTGCAGTTAGCGCTTTACAATATTGACCAAATAACGACCTACTTCACTTTCAATACTTAAATCATAGTTGATTAGTTAGGTTCTCTACTAAAAAACTCTCAATATTAATTTGAGAGCAGTGATTTTTGGTTTGTTTTGCAGAGATACTGTACTCTCACAAATACACCACACCCCCACATTGATTTCTCCTCTCACACCAAACAATATTTGCTCTCACAACTGTAATCTTTTACTATAATTTTATTACAGGTGAAAATTACATCAGTAGATTTTTTGCCCCAGTGAGAGAAAAATAAGTTAACATTGTACACTGGTTATGCTCTTAACCCGGCAACATGGGCCTGGGAGGCTCACAGGGATATTGATATTCACAGTACTCCATCAATTATACATTTTTCAACTCAATACTTGTTGTATGCTCGCAGTGGGAGCTAAACTCCAGCCCTCCAGGTGGCGATATAATGCCTTATCCTGATTTCAGCTAACCCATTTCCTAACGAGGTAGAAGCTTCCTGCTTCTGGTTGTAAACAGAAAGGAGTTGCAGCCGGCTTTGGTGGCCCACACTGCACAGGCAGGTCAACCACACTTTTACAGTAGCTGTATCTATTTACAATATATGATAGAATCTCCAAGAGGTGAAAAGTGCGACAGTTGAAGGGGGAATAGATCTCTAAATTGGAGGAACAGAGTTTGGTGGTGTGTACAGTGTGTGAATGTACAGACAGCAGCATGGCCAGTGGACAGCTGTACAGAGGGAGCGTTAATGTGTGTGTGTGTGTGTGTGTGTACAGGCGGCAGCATGGCCAGTGGACAGCTGTCTAGAGAAGAGGCGTTGGCGTGTGTGGGGTGCAGACATGCGTGTCACATATTGCTCTATGCAGACACAGAAGCTCAGCTGTTTGAAGAAATCCCCATCAGACACATCGTACTGGTGAGAGAGCAGGGTGTGTGCGTGCACGTGGTAGTAATCTCCACACTGGTCGCTGGCCAGCTATATTTTGCCTGTCATGAGAGACTAGTGTTAGTTACTGCATTTATCTCCCTCCACAGATGCAGATGCGTTTCGATGGTCTGTTGGGTTTCCCTGGCGGGTGAGTGATGTCATACAGAGAATAGTACTCTAGACTAGGGGAAGGAACGGATTGGGATTCAGAATACTGTATATGTGCTCTGACATCTGACCTTTAACCTCAGTCTCGTTGACCCGTCAGAAGAATCCCTGGAGGAGGGCCTGAGCAGGGAACTGTGGGAGGAGCTGGGCTTCTCACTGTCAGTGACCGTGGAGGATCATGTGTCTTCCTGCCACAACCCTTCCTCCTCTTCATCTTATCTCATCACTCACTTCTACGCCCGGAGAATGGAAGAGAAAGAGATCAGGGAGGTGGAAAAGGCAGCTGCTAGCACAGCAACAGACCATGGCCATGAGGTAGCATGTGTGTACAGTATGTCTTAATTTGTCTTTCCGGGATTCCTTGCATCCTATCTCCTCGCCACCTTCTCAACCCCTCCTCCTCTCTTCCAGGTGATGGGGATGGTCCGAGTTCCTCTCTACACCATAAAGGGAGGAGGAGGGCTTCCCTCGTTTTTGTCCCACTCCTTTATTGGGAACTCTCGCTCTCAGCTGGAGGACGCTCTAGTGCGCTTCGGCCTGGTCACACCCGAGGAGCTACAGACAGCACTCACACATGCAGAGCAGAGGAGGAGACAACCTTAGTGGGGGGGGGGGGGGTGGGCAGCCTAAACACACACACAATGTAAGAAAATACATTACATATGACTATTTCCTGTTAGTATGTTACACACAGTTCTGTATTATGAAATTGTAACACTTACTCCATATACATCTGTAGCCTCTATGGTAAATAATATAATGTACACAATTATCCACTAGTTGGCGGACAGAACAAGGTAACTCCTGGGCCCAGTTCCCCAAAAGCATCTTAAGGCTAATAAGTTCATCGTTAGAACCTTCGTAGGAGCATCGTTAAGTCTCCGAGCTGTTTCCAAAAACAATGGTTATTAACATTGCACTTGAAAACGCTCGTTATCTAACGCCTGCCTCAGACCACCCGTAGAACAGCTAAGTGGGTCGTTAGAGGTTTTTTTGCCCTTCCGCATCATTTTATACACAAAAGATCTCTGCTAAACATAGAATCACATGGTTTATCCGCCTCTCTGTGACCACCGATACCTTCAGAAAAAAGTTGACTTCAAATACAAAGTTGCCAATGTGTTTGCAATTGATACAAACAAGCGATGTACACTGAGCATACCAAGCATCAGGAACACCTTCCTAACATTGAGTTGCACCCCCCCTTTTGCCCTCAGAACAGTCTCAATTTGTTGGTGCATGGACTCCACAAGGTGTCGAAAGTGTTCCAGAAGGAGGCTGGCCCATGTTGACTCAAATGCTCCCCACAGTTGTGTCAAGTTGGCTGGATGTCCTTTAGGCGGTGGACCATTCTAGATACACACAGAAACTGTTGAGCATTAAAAACCCAGCAGCATTGCCGTTCTTGACACAAACCGGTGCACCTGGCACCTACTACCATACCCCGTTCAAAGGCACTTAAATATTTTGTCTTGCCCGTTCACCCTTTGAATGGCACACATACACAATCCATGTCTCAAGGCTTAAAAATCCTTCTTTAACCTGTCTCCTCCCCTTCATCTACACTGATTGATTGAAGTGGATTTAACAAGTGACATAAGGGATCATAGCTTTCACCTGGTCAGTCTTATCTCATGGAAAGAGCAGGTGTTCTTTGTTTTGTACACTATAAAAACATGCTTCAAATTCAAACTGGGATGACTGCATTAAAATATAAATACAATAGGCTATAGGCCTATTTCAATCATATTGTCTCAATATAGTTCATGATGTGTAGCCTAATGTGCGCAATGATTTGCCAAATCTTCATTTAGTGCATTATAGGGTAAGCATTAGAATAAGCCGCCTGAATATTTGCAGCCATCTTTCTAGGAGCTGATCCATCGTCAGTATTGTGGAATAATTCTAATATTAAGGTAAGATTTGAATGGAGAAAGCTGATCCGAGAGCAGCGTTGCCTTTCTTTAGATCCTATCAGTATCGACACATGCCTAAGCAAACGTTGTAGGAAAGATGCATCGTTAAAACACTCGTAAGCCTAAGTTCAATCGCTATCGGGAAACCGGGCCCTGGTCAAGAAAGGCAGAGAAAAGTGCCTGCTCGGTATTAACACGTTGCACTAGAGCCAGCAGTGGAGGAGTACTACTGAGCAAAGGTTTACATTAAATTCCTCCACATTTTGAAAGACAATAGTGTCCCAACACTCTGAAATGCTGCATATCTGCAACTGCCAGTGTGCACAGCAACAGTGGAGAGATCCTTCTCCAAGCTGAATTTGACTACGCCTCATCTTGGTGGTGAAAACAGAGTTGTAAAGCAGGGGGAGGGGCTGGGATAGTGTGTGTGTGGGTGTTTAGTGCTTGAAATAAAAAACTAAAAAGACAATTGCACAATTTAGTGGTTTTATTAGTCAAACTCTGTAGCCAAATCAGCATCTGTGAAATATCCACTGATGTTTACATAGTGTGTAAACAATAACAAATGTACTCTCATACTGTAAGTCAGTGCAGCCATTGGTGGGTCCTAGAGCTCATCATGTTCATAGATATTGTATTCCTTCACCGTTATCAATCCATCTCTATCGTGGTCACTCTTCTGGAACACGTCATTCACCATTCTCTCATAGAAGGAGTCTTCACGAGGTTTACTACCATCTCTCTCATACTCCACCTTGAAGTAGAATGTCATCTACAAAACAACAAACAAAACATGGGTTAGTCCTCCTCTGAACAATGGACAATTTAGTTGAAGACATGATGCATGTGCACCACCCCAGACTAAAATTGGTCAGAAGAAGGCTGTCTTCTTCAGTTTCTAAGCTCAGACTTTAAATGATGTACATGAGTTTCCTAACTACAATTTCTTATCCAGAGGTGCAGATCTAGTTTTTGATCTAATAAGAATGTTAGAATACATTTACATCTTAGTCATTTAGCAGACGCTCTTATCCAGAGTAACTTTACAGTAGTGAGTGTATACATTTTCGTACTAGTACCCTGTAGGAATTGAACCAACAACCCTGGCGGTGCAAGCACCATGCTCTACCAACTGACCCACAACACAGGACTTGTTAGAGAATGTTACTTCCATCCAATTGAATATAGATGAACTAGCATACCTCATCCCTAGTGAGAACCTTGTCATCATCCAGGTCTATATCTCTGAAGGACTCCAGGCTGCGTGGCCCTTTGGAGACAGAGTAGAGCTCCACTTCAAAGATCAGTGTAGCATTGGGTGGGACAGGACCTATTAAACCAGAAAAATACATTACAGCAATATTTTCCCCAAAGTGAAAACAAAATAGTAACACCCAAACACAATGGCAACACTCCTTGGACTGACACACAGAAACCCAACTGCAAACATTTAATACTGTAATGACATTATTGATGTTTTCAGATGGAATACCTTCATTTCCAATTTGACATTTCTAGTTTATTCGCTATAGTAATTAATCTGTTTCTTTCTCCAACAATCATTCCAGCAGTCATAAATGTTAATATAATATTTCATGCCATTGCCATACCAAATATTCCAACACACGGCATGCATTCATGGTAGCTACTCCCTCTACAAGAATAATACAACAAAGAGTGGACCAGTTGTAATCCAAATCCCATTCCAAGCCACCACAGTTCAAGATTTGAAATATGCATGCAAAGCTGCTATTTGAGCATCAGTTGTATGCTGTATATGAATGCACCATATGCCCAACATGCTTACATGCCAAGAGGAAGCAGTGCAGTGTACACTGTCAGTGGAGGAAATTCTTCAAAAAACTGCTGTGGAAATAAGACACAATAAGCAAAAATAAAGAAATAGGTGTTGTTAGTTAGTTCAAGAATATTGAATGAATGTCCCTTGAAATTGTATTAAAGTTGTGAATTGTTTATGTAAAATGTTGGCTTTAATATGATATATTATTACATATCTTATCTCATGAAACCACACGGATCCTTACTTTTTTATATGCTTTTGCGGGGAGGTGTGCCCCTTTCTGTCCAATGAGATCATTTTTGGACCATATTTCTGTCCACGTTGGCCAGGGGACTTCCTTTCGGCTCAAGAGGCAAAGGTTCTGTTTGGCCTCTTTAAGCATCACATTAATGGCTAAAATATGCCACATACGGTTCTTCTGCCCCCTTCTTACCTTTTCCTTTTTCTCCGAAGGCTAGCTCAGGTGGAACGGTGACTTTGCGTTTCTCCCCAGCACACATGCCATTCAATGCCATGTCCAGGCCCTTGATGATTTGTCCGACTCCCAACACAAACCACTGAGGATGTCCAGCTTTGTCTGAGCGGCTGAAACACAAAAGGAAAATGGATAGATGCATTAGGTGCACTCAACTTATGGTACAGTAGGGCTACATAACACAATATTAAGTTTGTCACTGTATTACCATGGTATTGTCCTGAAATAATAGGCACATTCATTTACTTTAATGAGCTAAACTGTCTGTGAATTTGAGAGGTTACATGTCAGGGCCATTCCTCAGTTATACCAAAGTGGCAGGGTTGTCTTTTGGTCTAAATATCCAGGATTGTGGCTTTACGCTGTCACTGGATATCTGTCTACAAGCTTTTGACAGAGGAATTATGCATTTACCAGTTCATGTCTGTTTTCATTGATGGATCTGATCAGTAGAAAATCAGTACAAATTGTATTACCAAATAGTTTAGTACCAAAATCGAGCCTTTCCTGGCTCCCTCATAAAACTCACATGGTGTGCAAATCCATTTGTTTTAACAAAATAATTATATTGTTGATGCAATTTTTAATGTAAATCTGGGACACTTACCTACAGTAGAACTGAGAACCGTCATTAGCAAGATACCCATCGTAGTGTGCATTCATTAGGTCTCCCTTTTTGCTCTTTTTTGAGCAGTCCTCTGGCGTGAATAACACCTCTATCTTCACATCATCGATTGACGCAACTGCAACTGTAACATCAACAATGACATTATAAATCTGTAGACATAAAAAGAAGTAAAGCACAAGAGATTTCGGCAGCAGCATCATCATCATCATGTCAACAAACTGTATGCGTGGCACCGAAGTTTCTCTAGGAGCGCAAAAAAACGTAACTTCTGGTATGCAAGTGACGACTTCTTCTTCTTCGATGAGGTTTAACGGCGGTTGGCATCCAATAAATGTTGCATTACCGCCACCTACTAGACTGGAGTATAACTCCCTTATACTTTGCTTTAAAAATAATAATAAAAATATAAAATACCCTACCATCTAATACTACACTCACACATTTTATTTTATTTTTAAATAATAATAACAATAATAATAATAATAATAATAATAACTACCATACTCCACTATTTAAATCTATGTATTCCTACTTCAGGCCAACAGCCTGAAAGGATGGGACACCACCACTTAACACACCCTGTAACTCTTCTGATGTCAAGGGTCGCACACCCAAACACCTCTCTGCAGCTGCGACCACAACCTCTATTTTCTGCGACTTATGTTCAGTCCCTGCAGTACAGTTGATAACCATTGCTATAAATGCCAAAAATCCAATCTTACTGAAACATACAGTATATCACTTGTTGGTTTATCCCTCTGTACTGGTACAGATCTACTACTTACACCATTCCTCTCAGGAACCCTCCCCCTTGACCCACCTTCCTTTACTTTCTTCACTGCCTCAGCATATGACAACTTCTGCACTACTCTAACCCTGGAAACCTCAACCTGCCTCTCTCGCACTGGACATTTCGGATCCCCAGCCCCATGGCCAACCCTACAATTAACACATACCACTACATTCCCTAATGCTACACATTCCTTTGTCTCATGCCCTTCTGCACACTTCTCACACCTAGGAACCTCCCTCCTACACACTGCTGCCACATGCCCATAAGCTTGACACCTGTAACAACGTAATATATTCAGCACAAAAGCTCGTACAGGATAACTTATATATCCTAACATCACTTTGTCGGGCAAAGACTCAACATCAAAACTCAAAAGAGACAATGACTCTTCTTTTTCTCCACTCACGCCACCCTGTCTGCGTCACACCAAATGACGAGCATCACAAACACCGGGAATCTTCCCCTTCAGTTGGTCAGCTTTCACATTTACGGCTACCCCAGTAAACACGCCTTTCAATGGCACCCTTTTCTTGAGAGCAAAACAATTCACATCTCTTGCCCCATTCGTATAACACGGAGCGCCTGCTCCCTCTGACCAGCAGAAACACAAACAAATATCACAAGACCACTTCTGGTTACCCTCACCGATTCCACAGCACCCAACTCTGTTTTCACCCACCCTGAAACCACAAATGGATCAGCCAAAAGGCAAGTGTCCACTTTCTCCAAAAAGTTCACTCCTACTGTCACAGACTCATCTTTATCCTGACCCTCGGCGCAAACCTCGGGCTCCGAGAACTTCACCACACCTACCACCTCCGATACTTCGCCCTCATTCACTTCCATTTCTCCTCCTGTCTTCAGCTCACTCTGCTTACACTTTCTACCATTCTTCTTTAACAAACCTTCTCCCCGCCATTTTTAACCGACTCAAGCTCAAGCTCCTCCCTCTCTCTCTTAGACCTCCTATGCCTCTATTTTCCCCTCCATTCCTCCTCCGTATTCCAAGTATAACTCTCCTTATGATAATACTGCACTTCTCCTGAGATACATCTTGTTCTTGCCTTGTCAAGGGACGCCATTTAACCGGCTGTCACAATCTCCGTACAATCAGCACGATTCCCTCGGGATGTAGCGCTCAACAGTGCATCCCACTTGTTAATCAGCTGCTTCGTCTTGATGTTCTTCTTTATCAATAGCTACCGCGATGCTTTTCCATTTCAAACAAGCGCGCTCTCTTTCTCCATAGGGGAATTTAGAAACACTTAAAATAAGGGCTGTGTTTCGTGTAGGCTTACCCTGGCGTGATGTTTGATAAGCATGTAAATCTCTCTCGGACATGGTGACTTGTATCATTATATTCGGCTCCAATTACTCTCAGATTCAAAAATGCTAATAACCTTCAGAGTAGACATCATGAAAAACTACAAATCCCTGCAAGCTCCTGCATGTCATCTCTAGCTGACACCTTTGCTAACAGGTATTGTGTCCATTTAAAACTTGCATAAAACAGTTCACTGAATTATCAATTTAAAGACATTTAGCAATTTATTCATTTAGCTAACATTAGATAGTTAATCCAGAGATTCTTACCTTTGCCTCGATTCAGCAGTCTCGTCCATATCATCATGGCATTTGTATTTCTTTATGATAGCCACATTAGCAGCTAATTAGCGTTTCATTTTTTGGGGGGTAAATACAGGCGAATATATTGAAAAAGTCACCTTGTCCTAGAGAGATTTACATGGTTATCAAAATGTCACGCAAGGTTAAGCCTTTTTTTTTGATTGAGAATGGTGCCGGAGAAGATGGCTGCCGTTTTACAGCCCTCTAACCAATTGTACTATTATGTGTGTTTTTCCGCGTTATTTGTAATTTATTCTGTACATAATGTTTCTGCCATCGTCTCTTATAACCAAAAAGAGCTTCTGGATATCAGGACAGCGATTACTCACCTCGTATTGGACGAATATTTTTTCTTCAACATGTCGGACGCAAAGGATATCGTACAGACACCCGACAAGGCCCAAATCCCCGTCATTAACATGAGAAAGAGACGGAGATATCGTGGACGTAGGTCGGGGTGCCTTGTAAGGATCCGACGGCGAGCGAGTAAACTGCCTCTTCCATCAATCCTATTAGCCAATGATCAATCATTTGAGAATAAATTGGATGACCTAAGATTACGGTTATCCTACCAACGGGACATTAAAAACTGTAATATCTTATGTTTCACCGAGTCATGGCTGAACGACGACATGGACAACATACAGCTAGTGGGCTTTACGCTACATCGGCAGGATAGAACGGCTGACTCCGGTAAGACAAGGGGTGGCGGTCTGTGTATATTTGTAAACAACAGCTGGTGCACAAAATCAAATACTAAGGAAGTCTCGAGGTTTTGCTCGCTTGAGGTAGAGTATCTTATGGTAAGCTGTAGACCACACTATTTACCAAGAGAGTTTTCATCTATATTTTTCATAGCTGTCTATTTACGACCACAAAACAATGCTGGCATTAAGATTGCACTGAATGAGCTGTATAAGGCCAAAAGTGAACAGGAAAACGCTCATCCAGAGGCAGCGCTCCTAGTGGCCGGGGACTTTAATGCAGGGAAACTTTAAATCCGTTCTACCTCATTTCTACCAGCATGTTAAATGTGCAACCAGAAAAAAAACTCTAGACCACCTTTACTCCACACACAGAGACGCATACAAAGCTCTCCCTCACCCTTATCCTCCTGATTCCTGCTTATAAGTAAAAACTAAAGCAGGAAGCACCAGTGACTCGGTTAATAAAAAAGTGGTCAGATGACGCTGATGCTAAGCTACAGGACTGTTTTGCTAGCACAGAATGGAACATGTTTCGGGATTCTTCAGATAGCATTGAGGAGTACACCACATAAGTCACTGGCTTCATCAATAAGTGCATCGATGATGTCGACCCCACAGTGACCGTACGTACATACCCCAACCAGAAGCCATGGATTACAGGCAACATCCACACTGAGCTAAAGGGTAGAGCTGCCGCTTTCAAGGTGCGGGACTCTAACCCGGACGCTTATAAGAAATCCCGCTATGCCCTCCGACAAACCATCAAACAGGCAAAGAGTCAATACAGGACTAAGATTGAATCGTACTACACCGGCTCTGACGCTTGTCGAATGTGGCAGGGCTTGAAAACTATTACAGACTACAAAGGGAAGCACAGCTGCGAGCTGCCCATTGACACAAGACTTCCAGACGAGCTAAACCACTTCTATGCTCGCTTCGAGGCAAGCAACACTCAAGCATGCATGAGAGCACCAGCTGTTCCGGATGACTATGTGATCATGCTCTCCGTAGCCAATGTGAGTAAGACTTTTAAGCAGGTCAACATTCACAAGGCCGGAGGGCCAGACGGATTACCAGGACGTGTACTCCGAGCATGTGCTGACCAACTGGCAAGTGTCTTCACTGACATTTTCAACATGTCCCTGACATGTTTCAAGCAGACCACCATAGTCCCCGTGCCCAAGGACACTAAGATAACCTGCCTAAATGACTACCGACCCGTAGCACTGACGTCTGTAGCCATGAAGTGCTTTGAAAGGCTGGTCATGGCTCACATCAACACCATTATCCCAGAAACCCTAGACCCACTCCAATTTGCATACCGCCCCAACAGATCCACAGATGCTGCAATCTCTATTGCACTCCACACTGCCCTTTCCCACCTGGACAAGAAGAACACCTACGTGAGAATGCTATTCATTGGCTACAGCTCAGCATTCAAAACCATAGTGCCCTCAAAGCTCATCACTAAGCTAAGGATCCTGGGACTAAACACCTCCCTCTGCAACTGGATCCTGGACATCCTGACAGGCCGCCCCCAGGTGGTAAGGGTAGGTAACAACACATCTGCCACACTGATCCTCAACACAGGGGCCTCAGGGGTGCGTGCTCAGTCCCCTCCGGTACTCCCTGTTCACCCATGACTGCATGGCCAGACACGACTCCAACACCATCATTAAGTTTGCAGATGACACAACAGTGGTAGGCCTGATCACCGACAACGATGAGACAGCCTATAGGGAGGAGGTCAGAGACCTGGCCGTGTGGTGCCAGGATAACAACCTCTCCCTCAACGTGACCAAGACAAAGGAGATGATTGTGGACTACAGGAAAAAAAGAGGACTTAGCACGCCCCCATTCTCATCGACGGGGCTGTAGTGGAACAGGTTGAGAGCTTCAAGTTCCTTGGTGTCCACATCACCAACGAACTATCATGGTCCAAACACACCAAGACAGTCGTGAAGAGGGCACGACAAAGCCTATTCCCCCTCAGGAGACTGAAAAGATTTGGCATGGGTCCTCAGATCCTCAAAAGGTTCTACATCTGCACCATCGAGAGCATCCTGACTGGTTGCATCACCGCCTGGTATGGCAACTGCTCGGCCTCCGGTT